GCAAGCAGTATGTCATCAACATACAAAACTAGGAAAATATGCTTACTCCCACTAAACTTGTGATACACACAATCATCAACGACATTTACCTCAAAACCAAATGAGATAATGACCTGATGAAATTTGTGATACCATTGACGGGAAGCTTGCTTGAGCCCATAGATGGATTTCTTTAATTTACAAACCATTTTCTTCGAGTCTCCTAACACAAAGTTTTCTAGTTGCACCATATAAATTGTCTCATCAATGTCGCCATTGAGAAACGCCGTTTTGACATCCATCTGATGTAACTCAAGGTCAAAGTGCGCAACAAGTGCCATAATTGTCCTTAAAGAGTCTTTCGTTGAAACTGGAGAGAAAGTCTCTTTGAAGTCAATACCTTTCTTTTGGGTAAAGCCTTTAGCCACAAGACGAGCCTTATATCTTTCCACATTACCATTTGAATCCCTCTTGGTTTTAAAAATTCATTTACAACCAATGGGCTTCACACCTTCAAGTAATGGGACAAGATCCCAAACTTTATTGTCTTGCATAGACTTATACTCCTCATTCATGGCATCAATCCATTTTTGAGAGTTAGAACCCTGCATGGCCTGATGGAAATTGATTGGATCATCTCCCACCATTCCATTATTTTCCTCATGTTCTTGGAGAAATACTATGAAATCATCTGAAATAGTACTTTTCCTCTCTCTCGTGGATCTCCTTAATGGTATTGGCTCTTGAGGTTGTTGAGTTTGTATTTCTGGAATAATTACCTCATTTTGGATGGGAGGTACTTCAACATTGTCTGGTTGAGGTTCTGGATATGCTTCTTGATCAACAACAGGTATAGAAACCTGTACATTGTCAAAAGCAATAGTAGGAATCGAAACCGATCCTTCCTCAACTTCTTCCTCAAAGACAATGTCTCTAACCTTATTTCTCTCCCCAAACTCAACATCCTCAAAAAATGTTGCGGTTCCCGTTTCAAAAATTGACTTAAGTGTGGGATCATAAAATTTATAGCCCCTGGATCGCTCAGAATAACCAATAAAATAGCTGCTAATTGTTTTGGAGTCCAATTTCTTTTCATGTGGCCTATAAGGCCTAGCCTCAGCTGGACATCCCCAAATGTGAAAATGCTTTAGACTAGGCTTTCTGCCTGTCCAAAGTTCATAAGGTGTTTTAGCAGCAGCCTTAGTTGGTACTCTGTTTAAAATATAAGCTGCAGTCTTTAATGCTTTTCCCCAGAGTGATTTTGGTAAGGTGGAATGACTAATCATACTCCTTACCACGTCCTTAAGAGTTCTATTTTGTCTTTCAGCTACACCATTCATGCTAGGCGATCCTGGCATGGTGTATTGTGGGACGATTCCACATTCCTCTAGGTATTTAGCAAATGGTCCCGGACATTGTTCACCTGAACCGTCATATCTGCCGTAGTACTCACCACCACGATCAGACCTAACGCTTTTTATCCTTTTGTTGAGTTGATTCTCAACCTCAGCTTTAAAAGTTTTGAACACGTCCAGTGACTCAGATTTTTCATGTATGAGATATAGGTACCCATAACGTGAGTAATCGTCTATGAATGATATAAAATATTGTTGGCCATTCCAAGAAGCTGTAGGGAATGGTCCACAAATATCTGTGTGTATCAATTCTAAGACATCTGAAGTTCTTTTAGCACCTAATCTCCTTGTTTTGGTCTGTTTTCCCTTGATACACTCAAAATAGACATCAAAATCGGTGAAATCAAGGGAATCCAAAATACCATCTGACACAAGTCGTTCAACTCTAGCTTTTGAGATATGACCTAAGCGCTTGTGCCATAATGTTGCAGAATTTTCTTTATTTAATTTGCGTTTAGTACCACGTGAATCCACATGCAAGGTCTCATTATATGATGTAATAATATCAAGTAAATACAGGTTATCATATGCAGATAATGAACCAGTACTAATAATATTGGAATTTAAAGAAAGACTAAACCGATTGTTTCCAAATGAACAACAATAACCTAATTTGTCCAACGAAGAAACAGAAATTAAATTCCGTCTAAAAGACGGTACAACGAAAGTGTCTTTCAAATCCAAATAACAACCAGTTCTTAATAACAACCTAAAAGTCCCTATTAGTGTCTTTCAAATCCAAATAATAACCAGTTCTTAATAACAACCTAAAAGTGCCTATTACATCAACTTCCACCGATTTGCCATCACCTACATAGATGTATTTTTCACCATCACTTGGCTTTCGGTAGTTCAGGCAGCCCTGCATAGAAACACTTATATGAGTAGTAGCACCAGAATCTATCCACCAAGTGTTTCTAGGTACTGAAGCTAAATTATCCTCAGAACAGACCAAAGTAAGAAGTGTACCTTTCTTTGTACGCCATGCGTGATATTTGGCACAGTCCTTCTTCATATGTCCAGACTGATGGCAAAAGAAACAAGTATCTTTGTCTTCCTTTCGTTTCTTTTGTGCTGGACCCTTAGGAGCAGCTTCATATTCCTTCTTCTTTTTCTTGCCCTTATCCTTAGAAGTGCTTGCCAAGTGAGCACTTTCAGTTCTTTCTTGCTTCAACCTTTCTTCCTCTTGCACACAATATGAAATGAGCTCATTTAAAGACCATTTCTCCTTCTGGCAGTTATAACTGACCTTAAATTGACTGAACTGTGCAGGAAGCGAGATCAATACCAAATGAACGAGCAAGTCATCAGATAGCTCGAGCTTTAGACCTTTAAGTTTTGAAGCAATATGAGACATCTCCATGATGTACTCCCTTAAATTTCCCTTGCCCTTGTACTTCATTGAAATCAAGCTTTGCAAAAGCGTGCTTGTTTCAGCCTTATCGTTTTTCACAAAACGCTTCTCAATTTCGACAAGGAACTCCTTGGCATTAGTTATCCCTTCGGATACTGCACCTCTAAAGGCTTCCAGAATGCCGTGCTTAATGATCATTAGACTCATGCGATTTGAGCGATCCCACCTCTCAAAGTTCCTCTTTTCATCAAGAGAACTTTCTTCCATAAGAGGAGTGGGTTCCTCAACCCAAAGTGCAAGGTCAAGATCCATGCAGCCAAGAACAATCAATATGTTCTCTTTCCAATCCTTGAAGTTTGTTCCATTAAGTATGGGAATTGAATTGACATTAGCAGATATTGTAGTAGCAGATGAACTAGCTGTAGAGAGAACAGAAAGAAACAATTAATTATGCTCATATCCATATTTAATAAACAATAAATTCAAATAATGGTAAGCCCCATCTCAAGATACCTAGTGCAACATTAATATCAAGTCTTTGGACAGTAATACTAATTGCAAGTGGTACTCTCGGTGTAGTGATCAAACATTGACAATAACTCCTGTCAAATAATAAACCTATCTTTGGATTGATTTATTATTTACATGGAAACCTTATAATTGTCACACATTCACCACCACAAGTATGTATGTAATTCGGCCAAGTATTAACCTTCCTTTGGGCCGGTTAATACCCGCATGAAGAAACACACACACATCTAAACATCCAAATAAACCAATCTACACAAAAGAGGTCACTTTGGCGACATATTGTTTCAATTAGTTTATTTAAAATGCTAGATAACCTTAATTTATTATGAATAAATTACCAAAATATTTGAATTTTATTGTTCCACATAATTAAATCTTAATTATTCCTCTTAAGGGAGTCTTTAGTACCAAAATTATAGAGAGAGAATCACTAATTTTGCATTATTAGATGCCTTTAGAAAGTTTAGGGACCTAAGGGTTAATAATTCAAAACTTTAGGGATCAAAATTTGAAAAATTTTAAAACTTTAAGGGCTAATTTTAATTAATTATGAACTTTGGGGACTTTAATTGCAAAATTCAAAAGTTTAATGGCCCAGATTAAATAATTTTCCAAAATCTAGGGGCTGAATTATTAAACCCATAACCTTAAGGCCCAACTTGGATGGATAAGAAAGTTTAGGGACTGAATTTAAAATTTTAATTTTAAAA